CTATTAGTCACTAGGCAACCTTGTGTCTTGTAACTTTGTAGAGGTATAAATAAATGCCCTCTTTTGTTGTTCTGGGGTCCTTTGTCAATTAGGCATGATCTACCACCTGACTTCAGGTGTTATCTCTTGTCTTTATTTTCTAAATCCTCTCACTATTTTCTCCAGGGACCACTTAGAGACCAATGAATCCCTACAGTGGACCTCTCCTTCCATACCCTGACACATAGAGTGCAGTTTTGACACAGTATGGGTCTGTTTTTTAAATTGAAATCCATCTCCCAATATGTAGTCATGACCTGCCTTAGAAGGCCTGGTGTTTTCACCAAACTTCATGGAATTAATTAATGTCTATCTTCCCAGCTTGACTGTCCCACCTTCAGCTGCTCAGGAGACAGGTGATCCAGGGTATTAGATTTTTCTCTCTTTTCTGCTGATCATTCATTTCCTACTAATTCCATCTACAAAGGTGCAGCAGAGATTGGAGCAGACACAAATCAAACATTGATTTTTGTTATAATTGTGTATTGTCTGTTGAATGAGTGCATGTGTGGTAAGGCTACCTCAAGAAAAATTGTTACTAAAACATTATAAAATCTCAGAGGGGCCTATGAATCTTTGGTTTATGTATTAAAAATGGTTTTAGAAATGGACTACATTTGGATACAATGAATGTAACTAAGCAAGAAGAAAACCCCTAACCATGGAGCATATTTATGCAAGCCATTATAGGTTGGCACAGGAAAAGTCTATTCTGGACACAAGTATTATTCATATGCTTCTACTATTCTTTTACCAACAATGGCCAGTATAAATTAAAAATTATAAGAGATATAAAAAAGAGGGAAAATGACCTATTATTCAAATAGTCATTATATGACCCACCTCAGACATACCACAGATACTGAAATTGTCTAACAGTGACTCTAAGTAGCTATAATAAATATGTAAAAGAATCTAGTGGCAAAAGTGTACAGCAAATGCAGAGAAATTCATTAGTGAGAAGGAAAGCATTTTGCAAAAAAAGCTAGTAGAAATGTTAGAAATCAACATCATAATACAATAGAGGAAGAATTACTTTAAGAAGCTTATTAAAAGGTTGGATATATCAGATGAATCAATAGTCTTAAAATCAGGTCAATAAAAATGATCCAAACTTAAATAACTAGAAAAGAAAGAAAAACAGCTTCCAAGATCCACAGTACAATATGTAACATATCTTTAAGAGAGGTTCTTAAAAGGAAAAAGAAAGAGATTAATCAGAAAAATAAAAAACCCTCATAGATTCAAGTATTATATGTAACTCCAATTAGGATACATACAAAGAAAAACACCCAGGCACATTAAAGTCAAACTGCAAAAACATAAAATAAAGGCAAAAAATCCCCTCAAAACTAGGAGACAATTGGGAAGGCACAGTACAGAGGAGCAGCTGTGTCATCTTACTGCAGCTGCAGAGACCTGAAATTCTCTACCGGGCTGGGGCTGCAGGGCTACTCAGAGCTCAGTGAGAGAAGTACAGCAAGGGCTGCAGGTGCTGCTCGCACTGCCCTTCACGAAGAAGGAAGGCATTTGTGGTGTTTCCCTGCATTTTAGGCTCTCAGGAACCCAGTCCATTGCTTGCCTTGTCAGTCCAGGGTGAGCTCTGGGTAGCAGACTGGAGACAGAGAAGGAAACCCTGGGCATCACGGCCCAGGAGGCAGCCCTCCCCGTCCCCATGTAGCACAGCTGCTTCTGCCCTGGTCTTCCCTTCAGTTTCCTCATCAAGGGAGTTGGCCAGTGCCTACCCTCTCCTCTGTCTTCATGTACTAAGTGGCATTCACATGTAGGACATGGAATTGAGCCTCCTCTTTCGGCCTCCCCAGCACTGGGATTACAGCTGCAAGCTACCACACCAAGTTTTGGTGGCTGGCAGGGTGCTCCCGGGTAGGGGCCAGCATGACATGGGGTGCCAGGGATTGAACCTGAGTGCTTGCCAGGCAGGTGCTTAGAGTGCTGAGCTACCTCTCTGGCCCATTATAACAAGGGTTTTTAAATCAATGATTGCCTTTGCTGAGTTAAATACTACAGGATGTACATTCCTCTGCTGTTTTACTTCTGCTTTGCTGCTTTACAGCTGCTTCCTTCATGTAGCAAAACACATATTGTGAGCCAGTGCATGTGAGCCACCTCTTTCTCTTTCTTAGGTTCTCAATTAGTGGGTTAAAAAAAAAAAAAAAGGAAGGCAGATTCTGCATTTTGGTCATTTCCAAATCCTCATGTTGCAGATGATGAAAGGAAGGGAGAAGAAAAGATGGAGTGGAGGGAAGAAAAGGAAAAGGAGAGGGGAACAAAAGGAAGGAAACTTCCTCTGCCAGTCCACTTTCTGCAGGGGCTGCACATATGATTGTTCTTGTTAGCTGGTTCTTGAGCCAATTGAAATTTGCTTATTATCGTTTCCTTGGCAATCAGTAACTATTCTGCTTTACTTTTGATTTAGAACTCAGAGTAACCTCTGTCCATTTGAAACATATTTCTTTTTTCTTTTTTGGCAGAACCAGGGATTGAACCCAGGTCCTTTCGCTTGCCAGGGAAGTGCTTATTACACTGAGCCATCTCCCCGACCCCTTGAAACATATTTCTGAGTCTGATTCTTTTACTTAAATTTTTTTTGAGAAGACACTTCAGTAGAAAACAGTATTTTATCTAAAACTTAAATGTTGGATTATTTTGTTTTAGGATGTTTTCATTTTTTTCTTTTCTCGTGTGTATGTGTGTGTGTGTGTGTGTGTGTGTGTGTGTTTGTGTGTGTGTGGGTGTGTGTGTGTTTTGTGAGACAGAGTCTCACTATGCAGCTCAGGCTGGCCTTGAAGCTCACTCTGTAGCCCAGACTGGTCTCAAACTCTCAATGATCCTCCTGCCACAGCCTCCCAGGTGCTGAGATCACAGGCGTGCGCCACCATGCCTGCCTGTTTTTATCTTTTTATATACTCTAGAGCAAACATTCTGTCAGAAAAAAAGGGGTCTGACTTTTAGATTACTTCTCTTTTTCTAGACGCTATGAACATTGCAGTGGGAAACACAGAATAAATCACAAGGTTTCTGGCCCTGGACTAACACCTGAGTATCAGCAACTACCCGTTCAGCTCTCTCTGGGCTCCCCTTTGCTCTTCCAACCAGCCTGGCTCATGGTACTGTGCATGCCCAGCAGCTCCCAAATGCAACCTGGTGGAAGTGGGCAGGGGATAAGATATGCTGGCATTAGAAACCAAGAGGAAGTTTCTTGTTAGAGCTGAGTTTCATAAGCACTCAAGTGAGTGTGAGAATAAAGAATGTACCTCAACAGTCTCCTACAAACACTGCTCAGGACAATGACAACACATAAACTCCACAATGCAGCTCCCAGGCAATGCATGTCCTATTTACATGTGAATTTGACCAAGTGCACTGCTCAGTTATTTCTGCAGTCTTCCGTGAGAAGTCATGTGTCCTAGATTCCCAGACAATAGTAGCCACCAGGTTGGGCAGAACCATGAGCAAAAAGGGGCTTAGTTACTGCCTCAGAGACAGCTCTAGTTAAGTCTCCAGTAGCACTAAGAATTGTTATGTTCTTTAACATACGTTCTTTGCTAAACCTGCCTGACAAGACACTGGGGTTGACTCACTTTCCTATCATAATGGAAGCTCACAGGGCTGCGTAATTTGCTCGTGTTACCCAGCTAGGAAACAGGAAAGCTCAGACCTAACCTGAGAGGGGGATGACTTCAAAGTGTGTAGCATACATCACCCTATTTCTCCATGCTATCTTTTGGAAATTTACTTTTCTTCCTTTTGAGGTCAAATATTAGAAATGACACCAGACTGACAGTGCTCTCAGGGGGTTTGCAGAGCACAGAGCCACAGATAATTGTCCCATTCCCATCTCCCCTGCATCTGGCTTGGAATGGCCTGCTTCGGTTTTCCATTCTTAGTGTGGTGTACAAACACACAGTAGATACATACACACATGGACACACTTTCCTGAGCATACTCCTGGGGACTTCCTTAGTGGTGGTGATAAGATGGCAATTATTGGAATCATTGGGGTGAAAATGAGTCTCAGTTCCTTGGACAGCAAGTGAAGACTGACTGTTTAGGTATAGAATCCTTCTGGAATAACCTGGTCCAGCAGGGCATGCCTATCTCATGGGGCAGGAACCCCAGATGTCCTGTCAGGCAGTTTGGAGCTATCATCTCTTTCCTTTGGCTCGACTGAGTGTTTGTTGCATGAGTTCTTGGTTCCTTTGTTATGCTCTGTTCTGATGGGGAAACATTGCTTTGTCTAACCTCACAAAATGCATTTGATCTGATCTCATTAGGGACCAGAGCTATGCAGCTGAGAAATGTTGCCTTTTAAATGAAATAAATTGAAACAGTCCATTGTGGTTAGGATAAAATACTGGAGAGAATTTTTCACTTGTTTGATTTTACTTTATTTTTCTAAGAGAACAACACATTTTAAATGGATAAAGCATCTGAGTTCACATTGCATAGGAGTCCCCTGCCCCCTACACACACACACACACACACACACACACACACACACACACCATTCTTCTCCAACCCAATGTTATCGAGCCCAATGGAATTTCAGCAGAGAATTTGTATTTTACTTAGCATGAAGAAGAGTCACTGTTACTTCAACAAATTTGACTGACTGAAGGCCAGACTGGCTGGAGACCTGCCATGGCGTTGTTTTGAGAGCTGAGGCATGAAAAGCTTGGTGTCACTTGCCCTGCTGTTCTCTGCATAAAGTCATCTTACGCCCCTTTGATTTGCTCCTTGTTCTTGTTGCACTTATCCTCTCCCTCTAGGACCACTGTCCTTCAGCAGCAACGTGACTCCTATTCTAGAGGAATCCAGAGGCACAGTTGACAGGGACTGCAGACTGCCCCAGATGCTGACTGCTCTTGTCAGGCTCACAGAAGCATCTCCCACCCCCAAAATGAAGTAGAAGTGCAATAAAGAATCAAAAGGTGACTTACAGTGGATTTTGAAGTCCTTGTACTGTCTGTCTTCAATTGCTACCACGTACAAAGCTGCCCGGTCTGGAAACATAAGCCCTCCAGGTTTCTGTTGATGAATTGTGGGGAAATGGGTCTCGTAATCTATTCACCTGACAAAGACATTACATTTTGAACTGCACATAGAGTCAACAGACAAGCACCCCTTTGCCAGCATTTATCATTCAGTGGACTGTCACCTTGGCCAGGGTCTGGGCTGGGATAGTAAAGTTAATGTTTATTTTGGAGCTAGGAGAACTTGAGGGGACTAGTAGAGCCAAAAGAGCAAGTGAAGTTGGATGAAAGTAAACCCCAGGAGGAGCAATGAAAGAAGTGACAGCATTTAGCCTGGGGAAGCCATAGTGAGCAGAATACGCTGTTGTCCAGCAGCCATGCAAGCCTGGTACTTGTCAGCAAGAACAGGCCTTTCTCTTGACAATGGAAAACAGGAGTCCATTATAGCAAGAAAGGCCAAGGTGAGACCTACAGAAGTGCATTCTGACAGTAAGGCTCACTGGACAGGGGTGATCATTCTGCCCCCTGAGGCAGATCTGCTTTGAAGTGAAGGGCCTGGGAGAGGTGAGACTTCTAGTCTGAGTCTTCTCTGAAGTCCTCATGTCCTTCCTCGGCTGCAGGCCATGGGGACAGCAGCAAGAAAGCCAGCAGACCAATGTGGGGACAGCATGAGCACAGCATGCGGGACACTTACCAGCCACTTGTCCCTGGCAAAGATCACTGTGTTGAGCATTGACTCATAGAACAGACAGTAGCCCATCCACTCGCTGATGATGATGTCTACCTTCTCCACGGGCAGCTCCACCTCCTCCACTTTACCCTTAAATATGGTGATGACTGGAAGATAAGAACCCCAAGGCTATACTGTGCACAGACCACACCCAAGAACCCTGAGTACCTCACTTCAGGGCCAGATCTCCAGGTGTTAGCCCTATTCCCATTCTATTTTTCGGATATGACAATATTTCACTAAGCTAATTCATACAAAGTTTACTGACAAGTCAGAGAAACCACTGACTTGACCTGATGTCCAATTCCCCAGAGAAGAACCACAGAAAGTGAGATCTATGAGAGGAAGTTGTACTGATTATATGAATTAACACATGGGAAGTGCCAGGCCCATTGCTGAGGCTCAGCAGGCCAACATCATCTGACATATTCTTCATCATTGACTGATGGGTGAAGAAGAGAAAGGGACTCAGCCCCTGTACTATGTTGTCTCCACTCACAAGTCATTTCTAAGATCTCTGAGTCCCACTGTGGCAAGACAAACTTCTTAGCTGGGTTTTTGATTAATTGACATAGACCAAGACATAATTTTTGGAGTCTCTTTTTGCATTTGTTGCTGAAAAGATCACAACACAAACTTACTCACACACTGCTATGGAATTGACAAGCTGATGACAGCCTGGCTGGCTGCTTCTGAACATTTCCACAGAGAGGTCCTGCATCCTGTGCAAAAACCCTCCTGTGAGGTCCCCTTAAAGTCGCACAGTGCCCTAGCTCCACAGGAAAGCTTGAACAGTGGCCTGGAACTAGGATTTACCAAATAAACAACATCTGTCTTGAATCTGAGCTTCATGAAAATTAATTTGGACTGAAGGTTCTGGGAAGGCAAAGGGCATGCAGTTCAGTGGCTTTATGTAGTGTCTTAACAGTACATCATAGAGATGATGTAGCACCCATTAGAAGCATCCAGTCCAAGGATGTTCTACTTTCCCCCTTCTGGTACTTGATCAAAGTTTAATCAGAGAGAGCCTCTACTCTCCAGGCATCAAACACTTTGTGCACAAGTACTGGCTCTGGCTGAGGCTTGTGTGACCTTCCTGGTTACTACCCATGAGTCCCATACCTAAAAGGAGCAAGAAATACAAGGTTAGCTTTCTCTTGCGGGAAGAGTAGGTATCAAAACTGTTTCTCTTGCGCTCTGAGATCCAGGGGAGGAACTCACCCAGGGGGTGTGCTCCAGGAATTCACAAGCAGACAAAACCAAGGGTTTGGGAAAGCACAAGCTGCCAAATTTATTTCTTATTCAAAAAAAAGGAAAAAAGGACAAATATAAAAGTTACATTTCTTTTTATATAGGTCTTGCTTTATCTTGGTCTTAACCATCCAGCAGAAAAGTATAAAAATGAGGTATAAAAAGTAAAGCCATATTAATATGCTGAGCTGTAAAAGGCTCAAGCCAACAACTTCTGACATTGCCAGTCCAATGGATAACCCACTCCTTTTATGGACTACTGGACTATATTGGATTATTTTGCTGAATTCACGTACCTACAAAATTTAAATGACAATGGAATACTCATCTCTGACAAAACTAAGCAAAAAAGGGGATATAAATGGAGGACCATTTTGTTACCTGTATGTGTTAGTTGATACATTGTGTCAACTTGGCTGAATCAGCTCAGGCAGTTCTCAGTGTGGGGGCCTTGCCCTGCAGGTGGACAGGGCCCAGGAATTGAGAAAGGCTTCCTGCCATCCTGTCCAACTTCCTGCCGCCTAGCCCTGCTTCCGTGGAGAGGTCCCAGTCTTTGGAGGAGCTTGATCTTGCAGCCGCGCCACTTTGGAAGAGCTCCGATCTTCACTGTGGAGCATCGGTCTTCGCAGTCAGCACCGAAGGAAGAGAGAGGCTTGAAGGATGCCGCAGCTGCTGCTCCTCCTCTGCTCTTCATTGTTTTCTGCTGCATGAACTGCTGTTGTTTGCCTTGGAGCCAGCGGAATATGGACTGAAACTTCCAGTAACTGTGAGCTAAATAAACCTTTCCTTCCTTCATTTTGAGTGTCGGATATTTGTCCCAGCAATGAGTAAAAAGTAACTAAGACACTGTATATACAAAACAGGATATACAGCTATTTTCTCTTAATTCAATGAGAAGAAAGATTTGTACTAAGAGCACTTGGACAGGATATCATGTCTGCATATTGTACTATGAATAACCACTATGAAGAGAACAATGTGCAATGTATTAATTATTGAAACTGTCCTACCAATCTGTTTTGAAACTGTCTCATTGCTATTTGTTTCTCCATGAAATTAATAAAAAAATGGACAAAGATATGCCTGTCCTACCTGTTTCATTAACTGCATGCAGAGCCTGGCTTGTCTTATTTCTGAAAACATTTTTAGAGTCTCTTCCCATATTTCTTGAAGACTCTTCCTTATGTCTTCCTGCATCTCAGTGGCTATGTGTCCCTGCTCCTTAGTTGTACCATGGCCTCCCAGCTATCAGACATTTCCTCCTTCCTCTGGGAGAGGTGACCTTTTGTTTGAGTCATTTCAGCTCCTCATGTCCTTTCTAGACTGCTGGCCTTTCCTGGTGACATACTGAGAACCAGGACCAACCCATCACGATGCCATGGACAGGACTCCATTAGGAGCTGCAAAAAACCACTGGACAAGGACGTATAGCTCAGTCTGACAAAAGGTGCAGAATCTTTCTCAGGGACCTACATGTGTGAGAATGTTGCCCTGTTTTCTGTACTCCCTTTCTTATCCATTATCTTCTAGATTCTGGTCAGTATGGGCTGTGACAGACAGATATGTTGGTATACAGAGGATAGATAAGGGTAGATACACACATAGGGGTCACAGAAAAGCAGAAATCACTGCTTCTCCTTGCAAAAAGATGGAATTGGTAAACCCGATAAGATAGATGCTCAGCCATCTGACTTCTGCTCATTGTGCTTTCTCCTTCTCTCTCTCTCTCTCTCTCTCTCTCTCTCTCTCTCTCTCTCTCTCTCTCTCTTTCTTGATAACAGGGTATTTCTATATAGTTCAGGCTGGTCTGGAACTCACTATATGTCCAGGATGGCCTCAAATTCATAGTGATCCTCCTGCCTTAGTTTGCCAAGTGCTGGGATTACAGGTGTGTGCCATGAAACCCAGTAAATATTCTATATTTATTCATGTCTTGGAGCAGATATGGCTCCGTACATGACTTGGTGAGTAGATGAGACCTCTATGAAAGGAGACAGCCTCACTTCCTTTGGCCCAGTTGTGGACTTGGGGGTGGTGGTGCTCAGACCCCACCCATGCCCTTGCCCAGGTGCCTAGGTGCTTTTGCTCAGTGTACAGCTTATACACTTTATGCTGAGGTCCTGGGAGCAGAAAATTATACTTTTGTTCCAACTAGCAAATGGCAGTGACCAGTGTAGGCATCTCCTCTAGGATCTATTTTCTCATTAGGAAAAATAAAAGGAAGGAGGTCAGAGTAGAAATCCTTTGCAGCACTAATACCTAGTTCTTCAAATGTGCCCTAAGCACTTCCTGTGGGTAAGGCATTCTATGAGATTTACTTGCAGGGATGGCAGACATCAATATGAAGAGGTGCCAATTTGATTTGATCCTGATTTGTAGCAGTCCTTGGTGTTTGATATTTTTTAGAGGCTATCTTATTCCTATGAATCCAAATACAATGAATCCACTATTGCCTAGCTAAGTTATCAGGGGTATCAGGGTAAATGATTGTCATCTTTCTGATGCCTGTAATGATCACCAACAACCACTTAAACTCCAAAATTCAATTTCCCAATCTACAGAATGCTACCTTTCATGGTAGGGCAATGTTGTGCCAATGTACTGCAGTTATTGGACAGCACATGGCACTGGGTTGTCTCAAAGAACTTGTGTGGCACACACAGCCTACTTCTTTTCTTCTTCACTTTAAGGGGATCAAAGCAGCTGGAACTAAGATGTGAGTGGATATAGGCTGCCAACCCCACATCCAATCTGGGCCCCATACCACTAAAGCTGCACCTGTTCAAGGTGGCCCTGAAGTCTCTGGATCTGTGTTCTTATTTCATAAGGATGATGGAAAGTTTATTCAGCTAGTGGTGACAGGACCCTGGCTTGTAAATTTCAGAATGATTAATCATAACTAAATTTACACCAGGGAGCAATAAACTCCAAATTGGGAAGTTTTCCTCTGTAGCTTCAAGTTAACAAAATAAATATCTAATTTTGGAGATTTTCTTTTTCTTTTCATTTGAGTGAAATTTGGCCACTCTGATCAAAGGTCATTGCTTAGATATTTTGTTTAGGTTTTAAAAAATCAAATCAGGCCAGCCCAGCCTCACTGGTGTCCAGTGCATCCACCCAAATGATGTGCTACAGGGCCTGGAGATTGTCATTGCCCCACTTTGTGCTCCTCACTTTCTGAGAGCAGATGCTGCTCCACAAAAAATGGACCCAAGAATCTTGCACATGAGGAACCAGGGGAGCCCCATCCTACCTCAGCTGCAGCAAAGCCCCTCACTAGTGCCTCTCTATGCTCACTCATCTATTTTGGTGTGAGCACACACCCTCTTCTGCAACCTGACTTGCTTCTAGCCTGAGCTGCTCTTCCTGGTTGTCTATTTTAACTTCCTACCTCCAAGAGTGGGAGGAGCTTTTGACACCTGCAAACATTCAAAACTCATTACTGCATGAATGGATGGGTGAATAAGCAATTTTGAACAAAAGGACATTGGGTTAAGAAACAAAAGATCATCGAACGAGTCCTAATTAGATAGTAAAAAAAATTACTAGCATTGGAAAAGCAGCTTACAGTGATCTCACATACATTAACTCAATAACCCTCCTCAGGACTCAGAGGACTCTTGGCCTAATGAGACAACCAGGATTTATAGGAGTCTAATTGCAGAGGCCACACCCAGGCCTGACATATGACTTTGTGTAACCCACATAGCATGGCCAAGGATCCCTCTACCTGGGGAGTGGGTGCAATAGTACCTGATTGGCTTGTTGCCTGGGATCTTTGTAGACATCAAGCAACTATTTTGGGGGGTTGGGAGAAAAATCTGAGAATAGAACAGACTCATGTTTCTTCCAAAGG